GCTGTCCCACGTCATCCTGCAGAAGCTGAACATGAAGAGCTATGAGGACTACAAGTGAGTGAGCACCCATGGGTGCCTGTTCCCCACCCCCTCCCCCGGGAAGAGCATCCTGTGTGGCCCCCAGCAGCTGGAGCAGCTCCCATGGCTCATCCCACCCTACCCTTCTGGCTCAGCCCAGCTCTGATGGGCTCCTGGGTGTACCCCTCTAGAGTGCCTGGCTCCCTGTCCCCACCCAGGCCAGGATGCTCCTGGCTGGAGCTAAAAGTCTTGGCAGCCTCAGAGGATATGAGCCCCACCTTTGTGGCAGCAGGCTGGATTCTGCTCACCCTCTGCAGGTCTGCCATGGATGGGAGGAAGAGCGGCAGCGATTTTGGCATCCGGACATATTTTGACATGTTCCAGAAGATGGAAGACACCTTCAAGTTTTGTGTTGAGTGCAAGAAGCTCCCTGATGCCCTCCCAGACCCCAAAAGCCTCCGGCGTTGCAAGAGGTATGGTGGGGAGATGGTCTGGTGGCACAGGGATGGATCCATCCCTCACTTCCAGCATGCTGGCTGGGGTGAAGTGAGCGGTGTCTGACCCCGGTGCCCACCTCCAGCCGCTGGGCACCCCTAGGAACAGTGACACAGCCCTGAGAGGGGGTGGCAGGGAACCAGGCTGGGTGGGCTGGATCATGCCCTCCCTCCCCATGGCTGGGCGTTCTGCCTGTGTGCCTAGGTGCCAAAATGTGTACTATTGTGGAGTGGCGTGCCAGCGCGCCAACTGGCCGCTGCACAAGAAGTTCTGCAAGAAGCTGAAGCTGGTGGCACTGGACCGGCTGGTGGAGTGGCTCATCTTCACAGGTGAGGCATGTGTCCCCCTGGGGATCCCCATCCTGGGCTGCACAGGTCCTGTGGTGGGATGTGGTGTCCATTCTCCCACAGCACAGGTGGAACAGGCAGCCTGGGCTGTGGCACCACCGCTGTACCCTCCTGACCCCCCAGGAGACATCCCATTTCCCACGGACACCTGGACAAAACCTGCCTGGGACGTGAAGGGCTGGGAGGACTGGTTCTCCATGCAGGAACAGCTGGAGGAGAAGCTGGGCGCCATTGTGGCCGGGCGCTACATGACCCTGCTGTGGGCCAACGCCGGGAAGCCACGGCCGGAGGATGCGGAGCTGCGGGAATCCATCCGGCGCCTGGTCACCGACTTCCACTCGCGGCCGCTCACCATCGGCCTGGGACTGCGGCTCTTCGGCATCGACCCCCTCACCAGGCCCCTCACCGTGCACGTGGTGGGGGCTTCCCACGTGGAGACCCTCAACACGCGGCTGACGGACTACGACGAGCTGACGCGGATGTTCCCGGGGCACCAGGGCGTGGAGATGGTCATGGTGGGGGTGGATGTGGTGGATGGACCCATCATGAGGCCCCCCCTGACCACGCTGGCACCGCGGGGAAAAGTCTATCTCAGCAGCTACAAGGGGCTCTACCACGACTTCTGGGAAAGCCACGTGGAGACCAAGCTGGCTGCCCCTCCTGACCTTGTGGTGGGCTTTCACCCAGGTGAGTGCCGGTGCCATGGAGGGGTCGGACCCTCACACCCCACTTCAGGGATAGGGACATCCACAGGGCACATGGGCTCAGGGACCACGCTGAGCACCCTGGCAGCACCTGTGGCTGGGCCTGAAGCTGGCCTGGGACATACTGAGGGCTTTGCACCAAGGCACAGCGGGCAGCTGGGGGCACCCCCTGGGATATGGCTGCCTTGTCTCCCCACCAGGCACTCTGTCCTGCCTGTGTCACCCACCTGCAGGTGAAATGGATCTTTCCCTTCAAGTCTCAGTGCTGTGGCTTAGCCCAGGACACAGAGTTTGGGGTGCCCCACATGCTGATAGGAAGCCAGACCCCACCTTGCTTAGGGCTGCCAAACTCACTGCATACTTGGAGTGTCCAGCACAGAGTGGATGCAGTTGGAGCCAGCTTTCTCGGGGGCCAGGGTGGGATAGGAAAGAGGTGTAACCCTCATGGCTGTGTCCCCACAGGTTTCCATGCCTGCCCAGACCTGCTGGCGGGCTGGCTGCCCACCCTGCTGCTGCTGCGGGACTATCGCCTGCCCGTGCTCTTCACCGTGTACAGGTGAGCACAGCCCCACCCCCAGCCCCGCTGAGCCGGCACAGACACCCTCTCACCGTGCCTGTCCTCTCCTCTGGCAGTGAGCAGGAGCTGAAGGCCTCCCTGCAGATCCTTGTGGAGCTGGAGATGCACGTTGTGGGTTATGCCAGCAACCCCTTTGCCTCCCTGCGGCCCGAGCAGGTCTACTCGAGCCCCAACAAACCCCCCGTCTACTGCAGCTCCCACTACATCGCCCTGCTGGGAGCAGAGGCTGTGCCAGGGGCTGAGGAGCTGGAGGATGATGATGGCTGGCAGGGAGGAGAGCCCAGTGCTGCTGCTGTGGCTGGGGGCATTGCCCCAGGGCTGGGCTGATTCCTGCCTGCCCTGACCACCCGACCCCCAGAGCCTCGCTGCCCATCCAGGACCCTCCACATCCTGGGATCAGCGATCCAGAAATCCCTCACTGCACATGTAGAGAGGCCTGGGGGATGCAGCACCCCAGCACAGGCATGGCACCCTTCCCCAGCACCAAATAAATCACTATCAGCAACCAGCTGCCGTGTCTCGAGCTTTATTTCCAAAAAGGCCTTTGTTTCCCTAAAGAAAACGAGGGGCTGAGCCCACCCCAGCCCCCCTCGAGCAGCCACGGCCTCTGGAGGGACAGCAAAGGGGACCCTGATTGTGGGACCAGCCATGCATGGGGCTGTGCAGCCCCTTGGGGTCCAGTGGGGAGCCCCAGCCGTGGATGTCACTGTCACTGTCACCCTCACTGTGCCCCCACGCTGGTGCCTACCCTGCAGGGCACTGCTCCAGCCTGGCACTGGCCACCAGCCCNCTGTCCCCCCAGCCTCAGCACACCCCACGTGCTGGCACTGCCCACGTGCCACCCACGGCCACCAGCACAGCTCATCAGCAGTGACACCGCTGTCACTCCCTGCGCCTCCCGTCCTCCTTCCTCTGCTAATCTCCATCATCCTGGGCATTGCTGTGCCTCACCGCTGCCATTTTCCTG